GCAGCGAAGAAGGGAGAAGGTGCAATGTGTATGGGGTTTCTTACTTATTGTCTTATTGAAATTTGATATTCTGATAAATACAAACAAACGTGTATGTGTGTTTGTGTGTGTGTGTGTGTTTGTGTGTGTGTGTGTGTGTGTGTGTGTGTGTGTGTGTGTGTGTGCGTGCGTGCGTGTGCGTGTGAGTGCGCACGAGCGTGCGTGTGTTTATGTGATTGTGTGTGTATGTGTGTGTATGTCTGTGTGTGTGTGTATCTGGGTGTGTATCTGTGTGTATGTGTGTGTGTGTATCTGTGTTGTCTTCATCACCTGTTCTCATACTTTCCAGGACTGTCAAGAAAACCATCGTTCCCTTATCGTTTTTATACGCCAACATTAAGCTTTATTTTTCGTTCGACTTTCTCACAAACTTAGGTGTAATGTACATCACCGTTGATTCAGTTGTATTGCCGTTATTTTCACTTTTATTGTCTTGTTGGTAGTGAGAAAAAGAGAAGTGATTTAATGAATAGGAAGAAAAAAAGAGGGGGGGGTGAGATGAGGGAGATAAAGAGAGAGAGAGAGAGAAAGATAGAAAGGGAGAGGAAGGGGGTGCAAGTAATACCCTCAACTAAGCGTCTTAAGCTCTTTCAAGTACAGAGAGGGATTTGGGGGTGGGGGGGGCGAAAGAGAAATAGAGGAGAGAAAGACAAACAGGGATGGGGAAGAGATGGATAGTGTGAGTCTGAAAGAGATAATTAAGAGAAGGGGGAACAGGTGGAGAAAGAAACGAGTAAATAGCGACAAAGAGGAAGGAGGGGGAGGAGGGAGAGGAGGAGAAGAAGGGGAAGGAGTTGTGACAAAATAAGTCATGGAAAAGTAGAGAATGATCAAAATAGGGTCTTCAACCCCCAAATAACTCGCAAAGAGAGAGGGGGGAGAAGGGGAGGGAGAGAGAGAGAGAGAGAGAGAGAGAGAGAGAGAGAGAGAGAGCGAGAGGGAGAGAGAGAGAAAGAGAGAGAGAGAGAATTAAGTTATCTGGAAGCTGGTTGCTTCTACTTCTAGTAACTTCTACCCTGCATGTCAGGGCCAAGCTGGGCAGAGGTGCAAAGAAAATTTACTTTCCACTTCCACTCATATATTATTATATCGAACTAGTGTCTTCTGCGATCAGCAGCGAAGAACTAGTTATCACCGCATACTCCTTTAGTAAGCATCATGAGAAAGTCAGGGGCTTGAGAGTTCCTATTTGTTGTAACGTACACTTAATACATATACAACGGCAGCCAATTTTTACCAATACCTGCCTGCACTGACGTCAGGCTTCATACACATTCTCAGGTAAAAGTAAAGTTGAACATCCCATTTCCTTGCGTTTTATGGCGATCCTAACCCGCTTATCTTCCTATTCCTGTAAGACAAAGATGTGTCCTCAGATGATGCGCACTAAATTAAGCAGTTCGAAAGGGGTTTTTGTTTTATTTTCAGTAGTTTTAGTAAGAGTTCCTTCACGGTTTCACCTAAGTTCCCAAGTTTCGAGGTGCTACCAGAGAGTAACATACAGTAGGCCTACAGAGAAGAGGAGGAAGAGAGCAGATTTGGGCGATAGATCATAGATTTTTTTTTTTTTAAGGAACAAGCCACAACTGAGCACCTGTCAATTAACCACAGTTCGGAAAAGAAAAAAATGGAGAGCACTTTACTTTTCTGTTACTTTACTTTTGCCCTCATTTATTCATTGAATCAACGACATGTCGTTTCAAAGATTCAAAGCCTGCCATAGTCACTGGACCACGTGACAAATATCCCGTCATGATATATTTATTTATTACACACGAGTGCAATATTGTATACGTGAAAACGCCAAGTGAAAAACAGGGTAAGTGACTGTCCCAATTAGTAATAATAATTATTATTATTATTATTTTTATTTTTTTTAAATTATTATTTATTATTATTTGTTGTTATTATTATTATGATCATTATTATTATTATTATTATTAAATTGCATTTGTGTAGCGCTCTATCCCATACTTGTACTTGTATAAGCTTTGGGCACTTAACATCGATAATAAGATTACTGGGAGTAAAACCTTTCTCTCACTCACACACACACACACACACACACACACACACACACACACACACACACACACACACACACACGAAAAATAATCATACAAACGTGTAAAACTAAGACTAAAACAGAACTTCATCTCAACCACATAAGAAAGAACTTTCTCAATTCTCAGGCATTGATCCTACCGAAACAGTCTATATTTCGCTTTTTTTTTTTCTTATTTATAACTTGGCTATTTACTATTGATTTCCTTTCACAGTAAAAAAAAAAAATTGTTTAGTTGGTATGTTTCACAGCGATATTTTACAGTCATTGTTGTAAGTTAATGTACTACCCGGTACCGTACTTTGATTTTTTTTTCTAAAAATGTCCTTACCCTGTTTTTCATTTGACCTTTTCATGTGCTTTTTGTTTTTTGTTTTTCCCTAATGCTGCTTGCCTAATTTGAAATAAGTGTTTCCCCTTTTGGTTGGATTTTCACGAAATTTGCTCTGACGACGCCTCCCAAAAAAATATGTGTATTTTATTACAATAAAAATGAATTATATCTTTCTGTGAAGCTCGGATTTTTTTTTCAGTAGGCCTATATGAAAAGAGAATCACATCGACAAAGCAACCGCCGTCTAATCGGCGTCCGTGGTGTAGCGGTGAGGCGCCTCACCGTCGCACGCAGGAGACCCAAGTTCAATTCCAAAGCGGAAAAAAATTATCATCGAGTGTCGCAGTCTTTCTGCAGGGAAGTATCCCCCTCAGCCCGGGTTGACACCCTGGCCCGCAGCGTCAGAAGCCCGCCTCCTAAATGATCTAAATT